AAGAGACAACATTTTCTAGCTCATTTTAGGGGTCAGCATTATTTTGCTACCAAAAATGAGGAAAAAGGCATTACATGAGGAAAAACAACAGACCAACATCCCCTGAACACAGGTGTCAGGTTCCCAAACAATACTAATGAGTCAACTACAATATATGAAAAGAATGCGTCTGATCAAGGGGTTTATCTCAAGAATGCAAAGTTGTTCCAACACATGAAACAAATGTAAATGTAATTAACAGACTAACAAAAAGCTACAGCACACCATCTTAATGCATGTAGAAGGAAGCATGCATTCAGAAAATTCAACATTCCTTTAGCAAATGGGGAATAGGTTTTCTACAAAAACTTTCAGTTGATACAACATTTAAAAGATTACTTTCCCCAAGACCAAGGAAAATGCAAAGATTCTCAGACAGTACAATAAGGAAACAAGGGAAAACAAGATGGGAAAAGCAGAAAATAAGAACCTCTACATGTAGACACTATTCTAAAGAACCCATGAGAAGTAAAATGGTAATGAAGTTATCATGTTAATATCAACATTGTATTTCCACACCAGAAATAAACAATTAGAAATCTGCAAGAAAACAAAAATTCCAGAAAAATTTAGCTACAAATCTAACAGAACTCACAGGTAGTACCTATGTACTGAAAAATAAAAATCACTAATGAAATACAAGACCTAACCAGACAGATATACCATGTCTATAGATGGAAGTCTCAAACTAACATGTCAAATCGTCTAATACTCCTCCTATCAAAAGCAAAGCAATTTTTAAAAAATCAACAAAACGATTTTCCAATTACATGATATGAAAAAGCAGAAGAACTAGAATAGCTGAAACAATTTTGAAAAGGCAAGGCTGGAAGACTCATGTCACCTGACCTACCTGACCTAGAGACTTACTGCAGCTACAGTAATTGGGTCAGGTTTGGTGGCTTGTAATCTCAGCACTCATGTAGCTGAGGGAGGATAATCACAGGTCTGAGAACAGCCTGGCCTACATAGTGAGAGCCTGTCTCACAAATACTAAAAAAGCTGCAGCAATCAAGTACAAATAGTATTGGTGAAAGAACAGATATAAAGATCAACATGACAGAATAAAGAATTCATAAACAGACCCACTTGTCTATGGCCAATTAATTTTTGGTGGCAGGACAGAGGCAATTGAGTGGGAAAAGGAGAGTCTTTGGAGCAAATGGTGCTGGAAAAACTAGACATGCATATTCTAAGAATGAAGCTAAACACATCACGCACCACGTTAAGTATGAATTCAAAATGGATGTATTCCCAAATATAAAACCTTAACTTAAAAAACTGAAAGAAACATAGGAAAACAATCAATATTACCTTGGCTTAGGCAAAGATTGCTTAGATACAGTATCAAAAGCATGATATACACACAAAAAAACTTAAAAACTGGACTTCATAAAAATTTTAAAGTTTTGCTTAAGCACAGACTGAGTCAAAATCTTTGCAAATCACCTACCTAATAAAGGACTTATATTGAAAATGTATAGAGTCTGCAAGATTCAGTAATAAGAAAATAAACAATCCAATTTTTAAAACAGGCAAAGCATGTGAACATTTTTCCCAAAGACATAGTAATGGAACAGAGAACACAAAAGCATGCGTTTTGAGAAATGCAAATTGAAGCCACCATGAGCACTACCACACTGGAATGGCTAAAATTTAAAAATTAATGACAAATATTGAGGAACATACAGAGGAAACTCAAACATTGCTGGTGGGAAGGTAAAACAGCACAATGACATTAGAAAATCCTATGTCCACCATAGGATCCAGCTGTTCCATTTCTCTTTGTCCAATTTCCTTTGCTAAAATGAAATGCCCAAGGCTGGGTAAGATGTAAAGAAAATATGCCCTACTTCACAGTTCTGGATACTTAAAGTCCACAATGAGTGGCTCCATCAATGAAGCTACTGGTAAAGACACCTTGACTACATCCATCAGGGCAGACAGCATGAAGTGGGAATGAATGCAAGGTGAGATCACACATTGACAGGAAGCCAGAGACCAGGAAGGACTGGTCTTGTATGTATATCAACCCTCTGGCAAGAACCAACCAGGGTCCCATTCTCACCTCATCATACTGGGGACCAAGCTTTCAACACATGAGCCCTTGTGAGATAAACCACATCCAAACCACAGGACCATTCATCTAAGAGGAAAGAATATGCACACACAGAGGAAGGAGGCCACCGTATCTGCAGTTTTGTTTTGTGGTTTCTTACCCACACTCAACCATGGTTTGAAAGTATTAAATGGAAAATTCCAGGAAGAAATAATTTTATGTTTTAACTTCCATGCTGTTCCGAGTCACATGGCTGAATCTTGTGCTATCCTTATTTTTTATGCAGGACACCAATCATCCCTTTGTACAGTGTAGCCATGCCACATCACAGTATTTAGAAAGGGACTGGGAGGGAAGGTTTGTATCAGTGGTGTGTGTGGTCCCTGACACTCTGAGAACTGGCAAGTATGATGGGACGGTGAGAAGTAAACAGTAGAGGAAGGAAGAGAGGGCTGATCAGTGGATTAGTTGTGCCCACAGCAAAGAGCACTCCCCAACTACACTTCACCAGGAACCATTCCTTCACACAGCTACACCAGTATCTGCAAGCAAACACTAACTGCAGTGCTCTTACCTGGATATGCTTACCTTTGGATTTTTCTACCGCTTCTCTTCACGGTCTACCATCACACTTTATTTGCATTAAAGAGTCAGTGCTCTGAAAGCAGGGAAAGTTACAAAGGTAGGAGACTGTACATTCAAAAATCACCCATGGCATTAGCTGTCCAGTGCTTCATTCTTTCCTTCCTAACACAGTGTCCAAAATTTCTAGCTGGATGAGTGCCCACATTCCCCAATAAATTTATGGGAGCCAAATTTCTAATTCTTGGAGAATAAAAGGCAATATGGAAGGGTAGGAAGAACACTATGATGCTGACTTAAGGACTGGAGGTAACATGAACTCACAATTCACTCTTTCTACATATCTACTTCCTCCCCTCCCTTGTTTCCTTCCTTCCTGTCCTTCCTTCCTCCTTTCTTTCCTTCTTCCCTTCGACAGGCAAAAGGGACAGAAGGGAAACTCTTCCTTGGAGTGGAACAACAATCTAAAAAATGTTGAAGGAATGATGAAGAGAGAAAAATGATCCTTTTACAGGCTGGGGACACAGCCCAAAGGTAGAACGCTGGCTTAGCATGCGTGAGGCCCTGAGAATCTGGAAAAGGCTCTCCTGAACATTGTAACTTCCCCCGTGCTTAGGGGAAGGGCAGGGAGGGAGGAGGGGAACAGCCTTTTACGACCATCAGAGTAATAATTCTATTCAGGCCAGAACTGATATCGGATGCAAAAACAGTAGAGAAAAACTTGTTGAAAAACAAGCTATTTACAGAGCAGAAACTATTTCCCCACAAATTATTAATTATACATGGAAACACAGTAACTTCATGGCAGAAAAACCCACCCATGTTTACTTAATCAAGTGATCCAAGTTAACCTCACCTACAGTGGCACAAACATATGGACACATCATTCATAGTCTTCATGCTATAAAGTGTGTAATTTAAATCCAATCACGAGGAAACCTCAGGCAAATCCAACAACATAACCTCAAAAATATAAAGATCATTAAGCAACAGATGAGGCGCTAATCCAGATTAAAGGTGTCTGAGTGCAATGCATAATCCCTGATTGAACTTGGAACTGGAAAACATGACGTATATTGTGGGGACAACTGATAAAATTTAATAAAGTATGTAAATTACACAGCGTTATGGAGCAATATTAAATTTTCCTGAATACTGTACTGTAGCAATTTAAGTAAATATTGTTATTTTAAAGAAAATACACTCAAGTATTTAGTGTAAGCAGCAAGGTGTCTATAATACACTCGGGCTGACATAGTGGCTCAATGAGTAGAGCACCTGCCTAGCAAGTGTAAAGTCCTGAGTTCAAACCCCAGTACCTCCAAGAAAGAAGGTATAATATACTCTCACGCGGTTAAAATATGTGTGTGTGATGAATAAATACATGCATATATAAATACACATATATATGGCGTATACACATGCACATACTGATACCTACGTATACACATATTCGTGTGTGTATGTATATCATGTCAAAAAAACCCTGGAGAATCTGGGTAAAGAGTACAAGAGAGATTTTATACAATAGTTTTTATAAAAACTAAATCTAACAGAGCTATATTTCAAAATAAAAATTTTAACAAAATAAACATCTGTATGCATCAAAATTTTGTCATTTATATGTAACTAGAAGTAAACACCTACACATCTGCATCTTTTAAAAAAATAAATAGGATCATGTTTTGTGTTTTCCCAGATTAACATATTCTGGACTCTTCTAACCTCTATAGGCACAATTTCACCTTTTCTCTTTTGATGCTTGCATAGTATTCCACTGGACTGGTAAAGCATAAAATAAATACCTTGGCAATGTAACCAGTCATTCCTGTTGGTTACTAGAACAATGATGCAAGGAACAACTTTTATATACATCTCTGGCATACATGAATTCACCGTTGCAGATCCAAGATTCATTTCTGGGAGATGTACTCCTTAATTCTAACCCTGTGTACCACATGACATAAAGTAATTATACTATGAGGACTTTGCTGCAGGAAGTTTTTAGTCAGCCATTTCATTTATTTCCCACAGCTTTACAGTTTTAGTTTTTAAAAAAATGGCCACTTATAAGTATAAAAGGACAGTTAAAGTAATCCAATACCTTCCCTGACCAAAATAAAAATGAGTTAGCATAAAATAAAAATTATCTAGTTAGCATAAAATAAATTAACTAGTTAGCATAAAAGAACAAGTCAGCATAAAATAATAAAAATAACTAGCCAGCATAAAATAAGTTTGTATAAAATAATGAAATAACTAGTTAGCATAAATTAACTAGTTAGCATAAAATAATAAAAATAACGAGTTAGCATAAAATAATAAAAGAACCAGTCAGCATAGAGCCAGCATCCTTCTGACATTACCTTTTGGCACAGAGTGACGGTGAGGGATAAACATTGATATTCACTGGGTCTCAGCAAGAGGCCTTGCTGTTCCAGTCCTGTTACTCTGCCCCTATGTCATCACTTTAAAGAATGGGTTAATTCTGAGTCTGAGCAAACTCCCCTTCCACCCTCAATATTTTTACATGGTGCATCACCAGCTCGGCCTCTCCAAAAGCTTGAAGAGGTGCATCCTGACAAAAGACACCAACCACGTCCGCCTCCTAGAGCTTTTTGCCAGTGTGGACTTTCTGATGATATGTAAGGCGGGAACGGTGACTGAAGGCCTTACCACACAGGTCACATGCGTAGGGCTTCTCTCCCGTATGCACTCTCTGGTGGGCCTGGAGACGTGCGCTCTGACTGAAGCCCTTCCCACATGCCTCACATTTAAAGAGTTTCTCCCTGGCGTGAACACTCAGATGGACTCGGAGATTGGAGGGGAGGCTGAAGGCCTTCCCACACTCCTGGCATTTATGAGGTTTCTCTCCTGTGTGGACCCTCTGATGATGACGAAGATTCAAGCTCCGACCAAAGCCCTTCCCGCACACCTCACATTTGTAGGGTTTCTCTCCAGTGTGGCCCCTCTGGTGGTATATAAACTGGGAACTGTACCTAAAGCCTTTCCCACACACCTCACATTTGTACGGCTTCTCCCCAGTGTGGACTCTCTGATGGGACTGGAGACCAGAGGACTGACTGAAGACCTTACCACACACGCCACATTTGTATGGCTTTTCTCCAGTGTGGACTCTCTGGTGCACCCGGAAATCGATGGCCTGACTGAAGCTCTTATCACACTCCTCACATTTATAGGGTTTCTCTCCCGAGTGGACTCTCTGATGAGCATGAAGGTTTGATCTCCAACTGAAGCCCTTCCCGCACTCCTCACATTTATATGGCTTTTCTCCAGTGTGGATTACTTGGTGTAGCTTGAGATTTGAACTGTAACTGAAGCTCTTCCCACACACCTCACATCTGTATGGTTTCTCTCCAGTGTGGACTCTCTGGTGGGTCTGAAGCTTGGAGGATTGACTGAAACCCTTCCCGCATGTTTCACACTTGAATCGTTTCTCCCCGGTGTGGACATGCTGATGGACTTGGAGATTTGAGGCCTGACTGAAGCCCTTACCACACTCCTTACACTTGTAGGGCTTCTCTCCCGTGTGGACTCGGAAGTGGATATGCAGGTCTGTGTTCCGGGTGAAGCCTTTCCCACACTCCTCACATTTATATGGCTTCTCTCCAGTGTGGACTCTCCGATGGCATATCAGGGGTGAATTGTGACTGAAGCCCTTACCACACACATCACATTTGTAGGGTTTCTCCCCAGTGTGGACTCTCTGATGTATGTGAAAATGTGCAGCCTGGGTGAAGCCCTTCCCACAGTCCTCACACTTATAGGGCTTTTCACCCCTGTGGACCCTCTGATGGACACGGAGGTTGACACTCCAACCAAAACCCTTACCGCACTCCTCACACTTGTATGGTTTTTCCTCAGTGTGGACCCTCTGATGGCACTGAAGGTTGGAGCTTTGACTGAAGCCTTTCCCACACTCCTCGCATTTGTACGGCTTCTCCCCAGTGTGAGTTCGGTAGTGTATGCTGAGACCCGTGCTGCTGCTGAATCCCTTGCCACAACTGTCGCATCTGTAGGACTTCTCCCCGGTGTGGGTGGACTGAGGACAATGCATAGAGCTGTGGCTGAAGCAGCCCCCAGGTTCATGACATCTGTCCAGGTTCTCTTCCGGGTCAAATCCCTGATGAGTTTGCAGGTGTGAGCTCTGAATGAAGCATTTCTCTCCTGTGTGAAATCTGTGATGATGGTGAAACAGTGAGCCACAGTCACCACATGGATGTGGCTGCTCTGCCACAGGGAACTGCTGTCTGCTTGTGCCACACTGATGACATCTATAGAGCTTCTGCTCTGTGTCAGTTTTAACAGGCCTATTAAATGATGTCTTCCTCAAGCCTTCACATACATGTGGACTATTTTTGACATCAATTTGCTCACCGCTACCCTGAGGCTGTGAGTCGCTCAGATATGCATTCCAGCAAGAGTCCTGTGAGCCTGAGATTGAGAACTTGTCGTTTTGAATATACCTGGAGCTACCTCCTTTATGGTTTTTCCTATGGTCCTCATTTTCAGAAACCTGAATTGAATCACCTCTCAGTAGCTGGGAGCCACTCCTCTGCAGACACCTGGTTAACTCACTTGCAACCCGCTTCCAGATCTGCCAGCAGGAGGGCTCTCCATGTGAGAGGTATGTTAGTGCAAGTTTCTGAAGAGTCTCCATCTCATTTTGACTTGCAGTGTCTGGAAAAAAAAGCAATATTCAGAGATGAGGACAGGTAAATACTTTCTTCAGAAACAGAAGAATTTTACACAGAGAGCAGGGCCTTCCTTAATAAGCCAGGGGAAGGGTCCGCTTGTCCTTACAACAGAATTTCTTTTTTCAGGCAGGTGGAAGCAGAGTGCGACAACAGAAATCTAACTCCAAAGGGCCAAATGTGACCCATTTAGAAGCAAAAGTCTAATGTTTAACATGAGAGCTGCAAGCTTGAAATCAGAGGCCTGCAATGAAATTAAAAGACAATCCAGCTGGGTGTGGTGGTGCATGCCTGTAATCCCAGCACTTGGGCAGCCAAGGAAGGACCTGGAGTTGGAGGCCAGCCTAGGCTACACAGTGAGATCCTGTCTCAAAAAAAACAAAATAAATTAAACAAATGAACAAACGAATGAAAAGACAATCCACATTCCAACCTATAATAGCAATTAAAAGATTCACCTTCTTCTCAGTAGACTTTTGGCAAGTGGGACTCTATCTTATTTAGGTTAAAAAAGCTCAAATTTGAACATAAAACAGTATTTCAGGTCTTGATAGAAATTATCCCCCAGGGTTCATTGAGAAACTGGTTTGGAATACTAACACACATTGTTCTACAACTTGGTAGTAATTCCCATCACTGTAAAAGAAATGGGAAAATTCTCCTTGTACTGCTGAACACAATTGGGAAGAAGGAAAGAAACAGAGCCCAGTGCAGACTCTCAAAGCCAACCCTGAAGAGGAAGGGAGGGAGTTACACCTCTCTTGGAAGACTTTGTCCCTACCAGTATCTGTTCAAATATCACTCTACATGGGCTGCAGGTATGGCTCAAGTGGTTGAACACTTGCCCAACAAATATCACTCTACTGGTGATGCCTTCTATAATGTCCACTGTAAAAATAATTCCTCCTTACTCCCTTAGACCCTTGCTTCTCATTTCTTTCTCTCTTTCTCTCTCTCTCTCTCTCTCTCTCTGTCTCTCTGTCTCTCTCTATCTCCCTCTCCCTCCTTCCCTCCCACAAACCCAAGTACTCTACCACTGAGCTACACCCCTGGCCCCCTATATTTCTCTCCACAGCTCTTATTACAGGTTGAACAAATCTAATCTGAAATCTAAAGTACTCCCAAACCCAAAACTTTTGAAATACTGACATGATGCCACAAGAGAAAAATTCTACCCCTGACCTTATGTCACAGGCTGCAGACAAATTGCAGGTGTGGTAAAGGAATTGAATAAAATGACCTTTAGGCATTGTGCATAAGGTGTGTGTGGAACACAAATAAACTCTGAATTTAGACCTGGGTCTCATTCCCAAGGTATTTCATTGTGCATACGCAAATATTCAAAAATCTGAAACAATCCAAAATCTGAAACACTTCTGGTCCCAACCACTTCAGAAAAGGGATACTCCATCTGTATTATTTGATTTACTTATATACTTCATTTTGTCTTTTCAGACATACTAGAAGGTAATGACCATGAGGAAAAGGTGCACTTTGTTTTCTTCATTGTTTATCCCTGCTTTAACATGATCTTCTCAAACTGCTGGTATGCATTAGTGCCCACAAAACCAATTCTGTAACTTGTGGCATTCTTTTTTAAAAGAGGCAGAACAAAATGTTAACTGTATTATAAGCAGTAAGAGCACCGCTATATTAAATACTGCTTAGGTCGTAAACATACATGTAAATGTGCACATACTTTTGCTCAGTCTAGATTCAAATATACTTCTTACTGAGGGTCATGGTTAAAAAGGTATGAAACCTGGGCTGGGGCATGGCTCAAGTGCCTAGACTAGGTATCTGCCTAGCAAGTGCAAGGACCCAAGTTCAAACCCCAGTACCACCAAAAAAAAAGTATGAAATGCTTATGCTTTAGGGCGAAAGAACCAAGACCTTAATCAAATATCTAATTTGCTTAAATGGAGAGTTACATCCTATTAACACAAACTTGGAAAAACTATCAACATAGATACATGCATTTCTGGATATGGGGGTGGTGGCTGAGTAATGTCTCACAAAGATGTCTAAGTCCTGAACCTTTTTTTTTGGCAGTACTGGGATTTGAACTCACTGCCTAACACTTGCTAGAGAAGCACTCTACCACTCAAGCCACTCCCCTATGCCTTTTTTGCATTTAGTTATTCATTTAATCTGTAAAGCCTGACCTAACTCCAGGCTTTTAGAGTCAGAAGTCATTGTAACATATGAAGAGTGTCTCATGTTGCCTGTGCTTTATGCTGGAAAACTTACTTAGACATTCCAAAATTTTCTTCTCCTGATCAGGACTTTCCTCATCTCCACAGGTATACAGTGCCTTTGAACTTCTGGAAATGTCTAGTTTGGAACTTCTGAACAACTCTATGTATGTTGTGTGATTACCTAGGTATTATGGGGAAGCAAGGAAAGTGGGAACTTGGGTGTGTGGATGAGGCCCACGGGAAGTAGCCCACTGCCATGCTACACAGGAACTGATGGACTGTGATACTTGGTGTACTGGCACTGATAATTGTTGTTGCTGTTGTTTTGGTGGTACTGAGAGTTGAACTCAGGGCCTTGTGCTTGGAGGTAAGCGCTCTACCACTTAAGCCACACTGCCAGCCCTTTTGGCTTTATTTTTCACATGGGGTCTCATGCTTTTTGCCTGGGGCTGGCCTCAGATCACAATTCTACCTCCTCCTCCCGCATAGCTGGGATTACGAATGTTTACCACCACATTCAGTTTACTTTTTGATAGGATCTTGCTAAATTTTGCCCAGGCTGGCTTTGAACTAGGATTCCCCCCATCTTCACACACAGCTAGGATCACAGACATTCATCACCTGGCCTGGTATTGATAATTTTTCAGTTTAGTTATATTCTGATAATCATGAATAGTTTTTATCTTCTAAGTTTAGGCTGGAATCTTTACATATGTAAAAGTGCCTGAGAAATTATAATTATGTTAGCCATTTACTGTGAGAAAATATGCCCTAAACATCCATGAATCACTCTTACCATTTTCTACTACTAGGGGCTATCTCTTGGAATAACAGAGATGTGAGGTCTGTGTCTCCATTCTCTGTAAGCTTTTTGTTTTTAAGAATCATTATAAAAACAAGCTCTAGCCATCCAAGCGTGAGGACACATGCCTTTAATCCCAGCACTCAGGAGGCTGAGGCAGGAGGATCACAAATTTGAGGCCAGTGTGGGCTATATAGCCAGACTCTGTGTCAAAAAAGAAATTAATCAATTAAAGGCCTTTAATTTGTGCTCCTATGATTTATAGAGGATATACAGAATATATAATTTGGGGATATTATTTGCACATAGATTGATATTGAAGAGGTCAAAGAAAATCTTCATAAGAAGGGACCAGAAAATGTCACAGGCAAAACTGAGAAAGGACAGTACTTAGGATACTAACTCTTGAGGTTAAATTTGCATATGAAAATGAGATCCATGAAACTGAAGGAAGTATCTCACGTTCCTGAACACAGTAAATGTGTGCAGTATGTAGACCTAAAAAGGAAGATGGAGGGCTGGGGCCATGGCTCAACGGTAGAGTGCCTGCCTAGCAAGCACCAGGCCCTGAGTTCAAACCTGATCAGGTCATCAGCCCAGTGCAGTGAAACAGGAATGGTTCAGAAGGGTCTGAGCAGAGGAGCAGCATAGGTTAACCTGATTTTTTTGTTTTGTTTTGCAGTGCTGGGTATTGAAACCAGTGCCTTACATGCAAGGGTTCTACCACTGAGCTACATCTGCAGTCCTCTAACAAGTTTTTAAAGAAGTTCTCTGGGGTAAGGTGTGGTGGCTCACACCTGCAATCCCAAGTACTCAGGAGGCAGAGTTTGGGATGATAGAAGTTTGAGATGAGTCCAGGCACAAAGTTACTGAGACTTCCATATCAATCAATAAGCCTGGCATGGTGCACATAGCTGTCATCCCAGCTATGCAGGAGGTATAGGTAGGAGGACTGCGGCCCAAGGTCAGTCTCCAGCAAAAGTGAGACCTACCTGAAAAATAGCTAAAAGTACAGAGGGCTGGGGGCACGGCTCATGCAGGTAGAGTGCCTGCCTCTCAAGGGCATGATCCTGAGTTCAAATGTCAGTACTGCCAGAAATAAATAATAAAATAATAATAAAAATAGACTTGCTGGCTACCATTGACAGAGTGGACTATGAGAATGCAAGGGAAAAAGCATGGAGATCTGATAGAGGCTGTTGTCATAATCCAGGTGAGACATGGTCCTTGGCCAAGGGTGACAATCACAGAGGTGATGAAAGGCAGACTAGCAAAAAGAACAGCCATACAGCTCTCACCAGAATATCTACTTCTATGGGTTTCTGTTTCCATCCTCCAAAGCTTTTCTTCTGCTTCCAGCTGGGATACCATGTCTGGTTGGAAGGGAAGGTACCCTGTTGAAAAGGCAGAGATGTATATATTTAAGGTGAACACACAATTCAAATATAGCTTGTTGAAATCATATAATCCTCAGCAACTCTAAAGTGGTATTTTAAGAGCTTTCCTGATCAGGAACCGTATTAAGAAATTCAGGTTATGGCCTAGTTCACATATCTATAGAGATCAAATTAAATTAAGCCAAGGTCTGTTTTCATCGTATTTCCAACACTGTCTCTCACAACACTCATTGAAAATGTTCAGAGATTTGCTGCAATATGAGTGCTTCTTGATAAGGAACTCTGATATGTTTTATCCTTACCTACTTCATTGAAAAGAAATGTCAGTACAATTCACTAAGTTTACTTCCTGACCTATCAATGGGTCATAACCATAAATTGAAGACAAAATACAGAAGCTAAGTTGCCTGTTTATGGTTCTTCTAAATCAAAGTTTCTTGTGCACAGCACTCCTGATGCTCTGGACTTGTGAATTCTCTGTTGTGGAGAGCTCTCCTATGCATTGCAAGAAGCTTTACAGAAATCCTGGCTACTACCTATGTAGGTAGCAGCCCTTCCTGAGTTGTGACAATTGTGTCCAGACACTGCCAAATGTCCTCAGATGGAAAATCCACCTGATTACAAAGCAGTGTCTTACAGGAAAAATTTCTGCTTGAGCAGAAAGAAGTACTAGAAGAATTTATCCCTGTTGTCCTGGGTGTTAGAAAAAATTTTGCCTCTAAAAGCAGGGCACTGTTTAGAATGGTCCAAAGCCTTGACCCACAACAGAAGTTCAATGTCAAAGGGCGCCCGTCCTCACCCACTGCAACCAGGTTCTTGAAGTTCTCCAGCATCACGTCGCGGTACAGCTCCCTCTGGGCAGCGTCCAGCAGCCCCAGCTCCTCCTCGCTGAAGACCACGGCCAGGTCCTTGAGCATCACCGCCTCCTATGATACCAAACACACGTGACCTCAGTCTTGTCACTTCCCTGGAAGAACAGCAGCTTTGAAAAGGAGAAAGAAGATTTTTACAAGGGCAGATTTTTCTCTCAGTTTTCCCCTATCACTGTTCACACAAGAGGTGAGTGCTCCTGAATCTCCAGGCCTGGTCAAATAGCTCTTAATTCTTTTTTTAAAAACGGACAATCTAAGTAACATAAATCCCAGAAAGCTCTTTTCTTAACATTTGCACGCTTCATTATTAATAAAGACCATTATTTTTCATAAGCTTACTTTTTTACTCCTACTATTTCTTTTCTCATAAGCCAACTGGGATTACAGGCGTCTGCCACCAGGCCTCACCAGGTTTTCTTCATCTTACCAACCATCACGGGGATTTAGCAATTAAATCTTTACCACAGGGTTAAGAACATCCCATCCATTGGACACTGCCTTGAACCATTGTACCCGGTATCTTTGCTGAAGGTAAATTGTAACAATTTATATCAAAATTGTGCTTGAATACACAGGTTCCCGGAATGACTAAGAGACACAGCTTGTAAAGAGGAGACAGGGACTGAGTAGGGAACAGGATGAAGGGGACCCTTTGGAGTTTACCCTTCAACAGGTCTGGCAGGTGCTTCCAGGAGATGCACTCAGGTTTCTGGAAAACCCTTTTGCCATGTCTATATTTTCATGAAGATGCAATGCCAGAGACCCTAAACTGAGAGTTAGAGGCCTCACAGAGTCCAATGCTGCAGCACCTGGGAAAGGTGGACAGTACTGTGAGAAGCACATATCCACACTGACATGCTTAACATGCAGAAGAGTCACCTGCACCTTCACACAGTGCCCTGAAGGATAATGTGATTACAGATAGGAAGGGCTGGCATTTCAACACTACTAGGCCTTAACTGTGTACACAGTCACTCTGACATGATAAATACAAAAAATAAAATAGATGAGTAAATACACACACACAGGAAGAGAAGAGAAAGCACAGCTCTTCTTCCATCAGAACATTGAACAGCATTACACCATATCACACTTTTGGATGCTCTGTGTACAAAACAGCTGGGGGAGCTGACATGAACCATGCCTCTTCAAATTACAATTATTAAAATTGAAAGGACAAATAATGCAGAATTCCACTAGAATTGCTTTTTGGGAACAAAGGTTATATAGAGAGAAAATGTTGCTAGAGTGTTCTTTAAAATAGTGTAATTTTTAAATTCTTTGAAAGTCTGAATAAGGAATAGTTTTTTAATGGTATTGCAAGTCATGGAATATGATGAAAAGATAACTAAGTAAAAAAACTATTCCACTATTGCAAATATACAGTTATAAATGCACATGAAGCAGCAGTATGGGAAAGGGAAAAGAGCTGGTTTATAGGCAAGGTAGGAGAACAGGTTATCTTTGCCTATTTAAAGTTCTAATGTTTTTTCCAAATATTTTATAAACTAGCAAAGAAGATAAAATAAATCAAGCAAAACATACAAACATGCTTTTGTTTTTCCATAAACCTTCTCAATGAAGATGGGGGAAAAAAGATGTGTCTAATTATTGAGAGATAAAATCCTATTTTAAAACACAGAGCAACACAGTACCTGAAACTCGGTCATCTTCTCCTGTTCCTCTTGAGGAAAGTCAAGAGTCCTGACAAGGCAAAACTAAAGAGAGACAAAGAAGCCATGAGACACAGCTCAGAGCCGCCATTGGCCCAGGTGGGTCCCTATGGAAATCACAAAAGAGCCCAACTTAAAGACAGAGGCAGCCACATACAGCTTGGAAATGTGAGCACCGCCCAGACTCCAGCTACTAGCAGACCTGGCAGCTCACAGCTGAACGACAGTGGACACCCTGCACGACCAGTGTTCCTACTATAAGAATTCCTGATCCTGGGATGAGTGGCAGTGTAACATGTGGCAAAAAAAGGGCGGGGGGGAGCTGGTTTAATTCTTGGAAATGACAGCCCCATTGGTGTAAACCAGGGGCTGTTAAAAACTACTGTCACCTGTCAAAGAGTCACAAACTGGACCTGCCTCACAGGGTAGTTCCAAGGATTAAATAAGTACAGTAGATGGGAAGTTGTAAGAACCAGGAGTTCTTTTTTTTGTAGCTACAAAAAAAAGAATAAAAAGAAAAGGAGGCAGGAAGAGAGGGGAAAGGAGAGAGAGAAGAGGAAAGAGAGAGGGCGAGAGGGGAGGGAAAGAGAGAGAAGAGAGAGAGAAAGGTACTTTGCATCATCAACTGCACTTGCTAACATTGTTCTCCAATGAAAGTCGCCTTTACTTGCTGAAAAGTCTAATTCTGTCTTAAAACATCTTTTGTGCATAGAGATAAGGAAAGACATAGAGCAAAAGAGAGACAAAAGACATGAAAGAAAAATCAAGACACACGGAAAATAAATTGAAAGGCTCCAACATCTGTCTAGAAGAATGGGAGAAGAAAGGATTGAGGGAACAGTGGACAGGTCCTGCTGAGTAATGACCTCAGTAAAAGGTAATCACTGAGAATTTCCCACAATTGATAAAAGATATGAGTTCACATACAGGAATTCTGAACAGAATAAATAAAAATATACTCCTAAACTAAAAAATTACAGTAAAATTTGGGAAAGATGAAACACACACAAAGAACTGAAAACAACCATCATAAAACTCCCAAAAAGAAAATATAATTTACCTAAAATAAATGACAATTCAATTAAAGCAGGATAACTTAATGGAGACTGAAAACAACTGAGTATCACTTCCAATTTAAGATAGAACCTATGTGCCAGGCACTGGTGTCTCATGCCTGTAATCCAGCTACTCAAGAGGCAGAGATCAGGAGGATCATGGTTCAAAGACAGCCTGGGCAAATAGTTCACAAGACCCTATCTCAAAAAACCCATCACAAAAAGGTCTGGTGAGGCTGGCAGAGTGGCTCAAGTGGTAGAGCGCCTGCCTAACAAAAAGGGCTGGTGGAGTGGCTCAAGGTGAAGGCCTGAGTTCAAACCTTAGTATTAAAAAAAAAAAAAAAATAGAACCTCTGTGTCAACTTGCTTTGCTCTAAGAAATGGTTATTTATATGAGGCAGAAACAAAATTTTAGCTGATCAAAAATAAAGAAAATACATGACTTCATGAAGCCTGGAAGGTGGACAGCAATGGGAAGAAAACACACATAAATACATTGGCAAAAAAAAAATAATCTTTCTTTTAGAAAATCCTAAGAACTACAATAAATTTAAGTGGTGGTTATGATTTAAAAAAAAAAAAAAAAAGCTGGCCCATAACCTAGCCTACAATTAAAAACAAACAAAAAGGGATATCATCAAATTTTAAGTACTTTTGTGATCTCTTTATTTTTCAGAGTGGCAATATATGCTAAGTTTAATATTTGCTGAGATATTAATTTTTGAGAATTAAAAGAATGATGCAAGACCACATAAATTTTAAACAGGTTGAGGACAGCTAAAAAGAACTGAATGCACACATAAAAAAAGCTAACAAAAGGAAGCAAGGTAGGCTGGGGGGTAGGGAGGAGTGGTGGCTCAAGTGGTAGTGAACCTGCCTAGCAAGTACAAGGCCAAGTTCAAATCCCAGTACCACCAAAGGGGTGGGGGAGGGAAGGAAACAGTGCAAAATGCAGAGCCTGGTAAATCAAACACATGCACACAGAGAACACACATATACTAACAAATAGATTAAACATCCCAGACTGCACTAAAATATTCCAACTATTCTAAGAGACACTACCAAAACACAATGATGCAAAATTTTAAAAGAAAGGAAATGGAAAAAGATATAACTGAGCCGAGGCCAAAAGAATGCTTCAGTTTCAGACGTCCTGGCAGAATTTAAGAACTGACCTGATGTCTGGGATATGCTTTAAAATAGTGTAGGCAGAAGGGCCGGAGCTACTTTCAGCAAATGTTGACCCTAAGTGCGTGGTGCACAGAAGGATTCACCAATCTTCTGTCTTTACACTTGTGTACGCTGGGAAACTTCCACAATACGTTGAGAGAGAGAAAAAAAAAAACCTACTAGAATCCATAAATATATGCACAGTAAATGCTACAGAAAAATGCACTGAAATGTTTTATTGTAATTTTTGTTTTTTGTTCGTTTTCATGTCTTGTGAGTTATACACATCTCTATCCAATAGAAATACACTGAGTCATATATGTAAACTTAGATTTTCTAATAGTGAATTTTTTTAAGTTTTTTTAAAAACCTTGAAAACAAAAGCAAAAGCAGGTGAAGTTAACTTTAGCAACTTTATTTGACTCAACTTATAAAAAATATTATCCACATGTAATCAATGCCAAAAAAATATCGATGAGCCAGCCATCTTACAACTTTTTGTAGTATTTAAAATCCAGTGTGCACAGGCACGTCCAGCAGGTAACGCCCGGACGAGCATTAATACTTCTACAACCAGAAGAATATGTGCTTTATTTGACAGGGAATAAAACTTAGTAAAAGAGAATATTTTAGGATTAAAAAAACATCAGTGTCCTCTCCAGGGTCATGTACAGGAAAGTCCTATCTACCTTCCCAGGGGAGGATGTTAAGGGCTCCTGTGGGGCTACTTAGATGACTGAAAGCCGCTAAATCACTGGGATCACGGACACGGGCTCTGCGCGGGCGGGGTGGTCACTCCTGGAATCCCAGTTACTCAGGAGGCAGACATCAGGAGGATGGAGATTCGAGGCCAGCCAGGGCAAATAGTTCTGGAGACCCTATCTCGAAAAAAATCCATCACAAAGAAAGGCTGGTGGAGTGGCTCAAGTGGCAAAATGCCTGCCTAGCAAGTACGAGGCCCTGAGTTCAAACCACAGTACTGCCAAAAAAAAAAAAAAAAAAAACCCAAGGCTCTGAAACCCCCTGCCTGGATCAGGTCAGTTCTCTGTCTCTGTCTCGCCCTCTCCTGCAGGATGTGACAGAGGGGCCCTGACTTTACTCCTCGTCGCAAGGTTTCCAGTAAAGAGGACGCTGGCGAGGACACGACTTATCAACGCCAAGACGCACCCCATTTCGCCTCATTTACTCCCTGCGCACCCCTAAGAGCGCAGAGCCACAGCTCTCAAGTGGTCTGGGGCTGGGTGAGCCGGCAGGGGCGCGGAGGGGAGCTGCACGGCCTCCGCCCGTGGCCGCGACTCCTCCACGCTAAATCCACAGCAAAGTAGCCGCAAGTCCCTCGCTCAGGCTGAAAAGGCTCCGGGAAGTAAAAGGAGTGCAGGATGGACTCACCTCCCAGACGGAAAAGAATGTAGCAGCCTCGCTTTCCCGGGCGGAAGTGGAACTCCAGGAGTTTCTGAACTACACTTCCCAGAAGGCTCTGGGGCAATGAGTACGGACTCCTGCAGGCCGTAGTACCCGGATGCAGTCCTGGCATACATTTCCCAGAATTCCGCAGAGCAGAAACCGGAGTCTGGGTCACTTGGGAAAAAAACTACACAACCGCCAAACTCCCGGTGCTGCCGTACTACGACTTCCACAATCCCTTCGTGTTCCCCCTCACCAGTAGAATTCAGCTTTTCCGATTCACAGTTAAACAAAAAGTAACTGCAAAACATGTGACGTTTGGAGCCCTGTCCTGAGCAAGAGTAACACTCGGCAAAAATGATCAAATCAATTTACAGTACGAAATACATTTATTAAAGGTCGGTCCTAAGCTAGTGGCCTGCGCTCTCAGCTATTCCCCAAGCTGTACTCACATAGGACGTCTTCTTAGTCAGTCGGTGGCTGGCTCCAAACCGGTCTGTTCTGAGTCCATTCGCTCCCGGGGCGCCAGGGGAATCCGACGGGCGTTCTCTCTTGGGCTCTCCTCTGCTCGATCGGGACACTCGGCTGGTGGAGCGAAAGGCAGAGTGGAGGAAGATCCACGTCTCGATCCGGAAGCGTGCGGCGTGGGCTCTCTCACAACTCGTTCTCGGTCCTCTCTCACTCGGCAGTTCGTGGATTGCCGTTATATGCAGGTTCTTATCCTTATCTTCTCGTACAGCTTAGGGTTAGCTGCTTTACATATCTAGGCCACCTTGGGGTTCGCTAATTTGCATATCACATGTTTACAGTATATATGTGTAACATTTTGTTATCAATGCTCATTCAGGGTAAATATGCTAAGTACCTAATACACTCATAATATCTAACTTTTTACAGTATGATACTCATAACATCCCACCCCCTGACAGTTTTGGGCCATGTGAGGACCAAAGAACTGTCACAAATACATAATAGATCTAATAATAAGTAACACACATAATACTTACCTCAAATAATACTTATCTTGAATAACAATAGTCACAGCACACACATAAGATAAATATTGTTGCATAAAGAAAACTGCAATCAAAAGGGTAAACACATCAAACATCAATCAAGGGACAATGTTAATACATCATGAAGTTCTTGTGTCAACGTTCCATTATGCCAGTAATAATAAAGAAGTTTTTTGAAAAATGTTGGATGGTAAGAACCCAAAGAAGCGACCATAATATGATGAGAAGGGGCCATAATAATAGCATGGGGTTGTAGGAGAGTAAATTGGTATAAAGTGAAGAAGAGTGACAAAGTCACATAGTAATAGAGCTCTAGTAGTTCCTATAAAGCCAGAGGAAGGAGGGTTAGATTGTATGGGATCTGGAAAAGACGATTTTAAAAAGGACCATAAAGTGGAGGGTTGAAGGATGAAAGCATGAGAGAATTTAGAAGCATGTGTCATTAAGGGTCGGTAAGTGTCAGGCCAAAAATCAGAAGAGGAGAAATTGGAAGGGAGCCATACCAAATATATCACATCGTCATTATCAGAAGTATACAGTGTAGTTAAAAAGGTTTCACCGTTCATAACACAAAATGTGGTTTTGTCACCCACTTGAGCTTTAAAGTGTTCAGTGGGTGCCTTATTAAATCGAAATGTACAATCATGGCTATAGATAAATTGTCCTAGTCTTGAATGTTTCAATGTGCCTGATCATGACCCAACAGTGCAGATGTGGGGGAAATTCAAGGATTTTCAGAAGGTTTCCATATCCCATGTACCACTGTAAGGTGATCGGAAAATTAATTGTTCATTATTCCAATATGATTTGAAGAAACGTAAGGATGGAGTATGTCCAAATCTGCCTTGTTGAGATGGACTTGACCATTTGTTGGAAGTTAAATATGTGGTAATGTCAGCACGAATATGGTCGGGGATTGTACAATTGATGAAGCCATGTCAGGGACGGGATTGTCTTCTGTGGTGGTTGAGGAGAACGATGATAAAGAAGGTGAAGGAGATGTTGACAAATGTCCTTGCCTTGATTTTAGCCATCTGGTGAACGCGTTGTATGCTAATGAAATGGCCAGAGGCAAAGAAGGTAGTATACAAAAATGAGCGGGACAAAGATGTGTTCAAATTCTATACTTGAAATATCCCTTGTCATGAGGTCATAATGAAAAGGTCAGGATTATAGCAATCCCTAAAATCAGAAGAAAAGAGACAAATACAGTGGTGATCAGTGCCTGTATGTGGACTATGGTCCTCCTCGTCTGCAGAGTCTTGATTGAGCTGGGTGAAGATTATGGTAGAGATGGCAGAAGTAACTATCTGGAGGCAAGGTTTTTTTGTTTTTGTGTGTTGAATTCTATGGGAGTCAAATCTGGCTTTCCAATCTTCAAATTCAAAGAGACATTTCTCAGTAAAAGGTAGTAGAATGGTTCTCAAAGCAGTTTCCTCTAATGAGAAGGGAGATAATCTAGGATTTTGTTCAGTTGGTTCTAGGTGGTGCCAATCAAAGTGTAGCATGTTGCGAAGTGCATCTGGATTAGTAAATAGCATGAAGTTAAACATGATAGACTGAGTATTGTTAGGTCAATGCTGATGGGAAGGCCAAATTGAAGCCAAATAACAAAGCAAGCAGGCTTTAAGCAGGCTTTATTGAGAGTGCGCTCTCGGGCGAGGTTCACCGTCCCCAAAGAGCAGGGCCCGAGAAGTCACGCCGGAGAAATGGCAGCCCAGTTTTTATATCCTGGGTGAAGTCAAGAGCTTAAGGTATTATGGGGCATCGGGATAGGTCGAGGTTTGGTGGGGAGGAGCTCGGGGTAATATGGGTCAGGACCCATTGCCTGCCAGCAGGAGTTGCCATGGTAATCATGAAGGGAAGGAGGGGATGGGGTGGAAAGTGAGCAGAGAGTCCCTGATCACCATGGGGTGGCTGCCCACTGGCCAAACAAGTATGTACTCTCTTATTCACTGTAATGGCAATTAAGTGAGCAAGGAGAGCACCAATAGTGATGAATCTGTGCTTGCTTTGGTGATGTATGCCCAAGTCATGAAGTAGTAGATGACAGATGTATTCAGTATAGTATGAGTTGCCTGAGTCCAATGTGGTTCAGGATATGCCAGTGTAAATGGTGAAGTGGCATGTACAGAGATGGCATTGGGAAACAGGCAGATGATAGCCAATAATCCATCAAACTGCATACGTGCATTCTGGTTCCATCTGTTGGTACTGTAAGGTATGATAGAATATGTTTCTGAAGAAGTCACCTCCTTCTACTTCTGGGTTATGTCTTCTGCAGTTATCCATTTTAGTGTTCATCATAAAATAGAAGACCATTCTTCTTCGTTCCATGGTCAGTGGATAAGAAGTTCCAAATGGTCTCCTCTGAAGTTTTATGCTGAGAATGCCTGCAATAGAGTAAAAGAAGTCTAATTGCAATAATTGCAATAAGAAGGATGACAATTTGTGCCAAAAGTCATATAACCAATGGAATGGGTTCCAGTGGCATAAGCATGTCATATCGAAGCGCAATAATTTGCTGATAGCATCAGTAAATCCACAGTAGTTGAGTTGGTACTGTTTGTGTGCCATAGCAAAGGTATCAGTTTGAACAATGTGCACAGTTTTATGGATGTTTTGTAATTTAGCGTCCATATTTTTCATCTGTTTCCTAATGGTAGCATCAATTGATTGAAATTCTTTGGCATTTTGTTGTATGAATCTGGTGATAATTTCTTTTTGTCTAGTTAATTCTTTCATTTTCTTATCATTTTCCATAATCTCCAGTATAGTTTGATCGGATGCTGTAAAGTAATGAGTATCTGTCATAACAGTGGAATTGTAAACTGTAACATTCTGATCCTTGAGATGGGCTGTAATTTTATATGGGTCAAAGATTAAATGGTATCTGGCAGTCATAGATAGGGTGTTATTTGTATATGTACCATAGGTATCATAATCTATAGTTCTATAAAATATAGTGACATTGAATGGTGTATTACCACATGCAATGAAATTGTGATTGCCAATAGAGTATAATTGATTTTGTAACTTGATAAGGATTAGCAGTATTGAAGATAAATCATGAGTTAAAGGAGAAGTTATAGCATAAAGGTTGTGGGCAATAGGTAGAAGGTTGTCAGCAGAGTAAAACCAGTGTTCATCCGTAATGTTCATCCAGATGATCTGTGACTGAGAGGAGACAAAGTTGTCACCGAGTCTTCTAGGGATTACTTTGGCTCTATACTTGGTAACAGCATTGTCCAAATAGATTTGAAGTAAGTTAAGTGTACATATGCCACTAGAGCATTCAGAATGGTATCTGTCATCCAGGATGGTTTTGAAGAGTGAAGTTTCTCTTCCTTGTTCTGTAGTGAATAATGTGTGGAGTTCATCTTCGACTGTCTTAAAGTTTGCTGTACTTGTGTGCATTGGATAAGGTGTGATTGTTTAATCTGGGTTTTATACATGGTTTCCCATGTCTCTGGTATTTTTGTCCAATTGTTGTACATGTTTGTTGATGAGAAGCATTTCTGTGTGCATAGCAACAATGATGTGAGTCAGGGTGTCTAAGCCATCTGATACTGAAGCAATCTCTGATGACTGTTTAGCCATGAGTCTTGATAAATCGTTGACTTCAGTGTATAAGGGAACTGTTATGGAGGTGGTAATAGCTGAGGCTAGAGAGATTTCTAAAAAGAAAGCTTCTGCCGCTGCCAACTGAAGGGGTTTTCGTCCATGAATTGCATTCCCATAAGTGAATGATGGAAAGGTTACCTGGGGACTTTAGAGTTAGGGGGTGCTAAGGCACGTAAGTTGATTTTGAGAGTAACAGGCCTTAGTTTTGGTTGCATCACTACTCTGATGCCTAAGGTTAAATATGGAATAACAATAGGAGGTTTTGCAATAGTGATGTAAGAAAGGTTGGTGTACTTTGTGAACAACACAGGCGGTTTATAATGCACGGAATAGAACTTGTGGGTAGAGTTGAAACCACCTCTGTCCATAATGCATGGAGTGTCTGAATCTTCTCTGATATGACAATGTTGAAAAGAGGAAGGAAAAATATGGATTTGTTCCCACTGGCTTTTATGGGAAATGTATCCATCCTTTGGTACTGAACCATAAAATGGCTTATGGGTGATGAGGTCAAACACTCCCCACATGCGCATTCTATGTAGTCATAATAGCATGTAAAAATGATAGGGTACTCTGAGTGGTAATGGGTGAACTGTCATAGGCCATCACTGACCTTCATTCCTGCAGTATGTCACCAATCCAGTGTGCATTGATCAGCTTCTTTAACATGATATCTTGGCATATAAAATGCAAGGCTGTCTTTTCACAGTTGTGTAGCTAGTTGCATTATGTGTAACTTAGGTGGCATGTAATCGTTGATTGTAGTTATATTTAAGAGGTTGTAGGATGGCTTGGGAAGACGTAGACCACAAGGTGAGCTAAGCGGTACATGGGACTCCCACAGACAACCCTGGGCCAGATCAGCATAGCCCCCTGGGCAGACTGACCCCCACCCAGGGAAAAAAAGAGAAACTGAATAAGCAATAACAACAAAATAGACATGTAGCAAAGAGGGCAGGGCACCTTGAGTGCCGAAGACAGGGGGAGGGGAATCCCTCACAAGTGGGCTGGAGAAGGCAGGAGCG